AATACAAACTACCAGCGCTCAAGTTTACAGGCTGATGATCCATAAACATCTCATTGTGCCACTTCATTTTCCAATTAATTACTGAAATAAAAATGCAATGTAAATATACTGCAAATACACTCTGGTGAAGGTATCAACTGTCACCAGAAGACCACTTACGAATGAGCAAACGTGAAGTAGATATAAAAAAGTCTTCATATTTTGCTATTCAATTTGATTAAATTAAAACCAAACAATTTTTACACAAAAAAAGGAATTGAACTACTATGTCACTTTATAACGTAGTGGTTATATCAAATTTGTAACTAAGTTCAGTTGTTAGATTTCAGGAAACCTTTGCCTAACTCAGGAGGTTTATCTGAATCCAAGTGATAAGTCACAATACATCATTTTCATCTAGTGATATCACTTATTTTAAAAGTGTTAAAACCTCTTAAGTCATGCATCAGAAGAAACATTTTGATATAAGCATAAAAAGTATTTGACAAAGTTAAACATCCTTTCATGATCAAAGCTACTGACATTATGGGGCCTGCCCATTAGCCCAGTTGTTTAAGTGACTCTTTAAACAAAGCAATCAGGATGCTGTGGTTCAATCCCCAGATCTTCAAGCCTTACCAGACCTGCCCTGAGGGCATCCTGAGCCAGCCAAGAAAAAAAAATCACTTCTGAACTTTTCTGTACTGTGAATAACCACTAAGAAGATAACAATATGCAATGTATTAATTATTGAAACTGGCCTATTTGAAACTGGTTTTGAAACTGTCTCATTGCTATCTCATTGCTATCAAAACCTATTGAAACTGGTTTTGAAACTGTCTCATTGCTGTTCCTCAATAAAATTAATAAACTACTGACATTAAATATAGGAGAAATATATCTCAATACAAGGAACATGAATATGAAAAACACAAACAACACCTTTCTCAATAGTAGAAATTGAAACATTTTCCTCTAAAGTGACCATTCTCAATACTTCTCAACATAGTAATGGAAGTTAATACCAAAGCAATAAAGAAAAATGAAGCTTGAATTGGAAAGGAAGAAGTGAACTGTTTCTATTTCCTAATAACCTGATTTTATGTATAGAAAACCCCTAACACTCCACTCAAAAATACCTGTTAGACCTGACAAACTAATAGCCTTATAAAGTTGGAGGATACTAAACTAACATAAAAAATCATTAACATTTCCAAATACTTATAATGAACTATCCAAAAAAGGAAATTAAAAAGACAATCCTATCTATAATGGCAGCCAAAAATTAAATAGATATAAAGTTGTGCATCATGGTGGTGCACACTTCTAATTATAGCAACTCGGAAGACAGAGGCAGGAAAACTGCTGCAAGTATGGGGCCAGCCTGGGCTACATAGTGAGCTCAAGGCCAGTCTACCCTGCACAGTGATACCTTGTCTCAAGAAACAATTAAATAGTTATAAATTTAACTAAGGTGGTAAAGGACCTGTATATTGAAAATTATTTTTTAAAACTGATAAAAATACAAATAAATGGAAAGACATTCTGTGTTCATGGAATGGAATAATTAACATTGTGAAAACATCCCCAGCATGGTATGCTTTAGAAGAGACAGAATCATCAATGGAACAAGATAGAAAATCCAGAAATAGCCTCAGAGATTTTCAGTCAACAGATTTTGACAAAAGTGGCAAGAGCTAACAATGGAGGGCAGGGCAGTCTTTTCAATAAGCAACGTTGGGAAAACTCAATATCCACATGCAGAAGAGTAAAACTGGACCCTTATACCAAGTAAAAAAAAGTCATTGTCAAATTGCCAAAGTCATCAAAAAGATTTAATTATAAAATCTGAAATTGTAAAATTACTGGAAGAAAACACAGGAGAAAAGTTGTATGACATTGGTTTGGACAATGATTTCATGATTATGATCCAAAAAGTATAGGCAATAAAAGCAAAAGTAGAAAAGTGGTATTACATAAACCAGCAAGGGAAAGTCACTAAACTGAAAATACACTCACAGAATTGGAGAACAAGGGCTGGCCAGATAGCTCAGAGGACTAAAGTGCTGGGGTTCGATCCCTCACGTGCTGGGCCAGCCACACCTCCTGGGCATGGCAAGGCAGCGATTGAGATTGGAACTGGGTGTGGTTGCATGCACCTGTAATCCTGGCACTCGGGAGGCTGAAAACAGGACAATCACTACAAGTCCAATCTATGTAGTGAGATCCTGTAACCCTGTACTAAATACATTTTTAAAAAAAGAAGAAGAAGAAATGGAGAACATATTTGCAAACCACACAGCTGATTATCTGTTTATTATCCAGGTTAATAAGTATTCAATTCAATACCAAAGAACAAAGTAGATCAACTTAAAATGGACAAAGAACCTGAAGAAACATTTCTCAATAGATATACACATCCCTATAGTCACATGAAAAATATTCAGAATCATTAATCATTATAGAAATGCAAATTAAGACTATAATGAGATATTACCTCACACTTGGTAGCTTTAATGAAGATGGAATATCAATGTTGGAGAGGAACAGAGAAAAGAGAGTTTCTTATACATTGTAGCTGAAAATGTAACAGTGTAACTATTATGGAAAATGGTATGGAGCTTCTTCAGAAAACTAAACATGGAATTATGATATGATCAAGTAATCTCATTCTGAGTTATAAATCCAGAGGAACTAAAATCAGTAGTGAATATCTGCATTATCATGCCTATTACAGCATTTGTCACAATAACTAAAATATGAGATCAATCTGCCCATGGCTAGAAGAATGGACAAAAGAAATGTGGTATATATAAAGTAGAACACTATTCAGTAATAACAACAAAGGAAATACAATCATTTCCAGCAACATGGAGGAAACTGGAGGACATCATGTTAAGTGAAAAAAATCAAGCACAGAAGATAAATGTCATATGATTTCACTTGTAATGTACCCAGTAAAGTTTAGCCCACAGAAAAAGAATAGAATAATGGCTACTAGAGGGTAAGGTAATAATAGAAGGGGAAAGAATGTGCAGTTGTTGATCAAGAGACACAAAACTTCAGACAGAATGGATTTGAGATCTATTGTGTAACCAGGTAATTATAGTCACTAATCACATATATCTCAAACTTTGAAAATGTCTCACCATAAATATGATATGTAAGAGACATGGTAGATATGTCTGATTTAAGCATGCCACACTGTATACATAGATCGAAATATCACATAGCCAGTAAATATTCATAAATTATTATTTGGTAATCCATAATACAATTTTTAAATAAAAATAAACTAGAGTTCTTTAAAGAGCTATTTTATAAAATGAAGATTTATTGTAAGTGAACCTCCTGCCCCAAGTATTTTTAGTTTAAGAAACGAAGTTTCCTTAAAATAGTATATACATCATTACTACTCAAGGTCATTAAAAAATAATCAAGAAATGGAAAAGTCATTAGCTTTCCTTTCCCATTAACCTACTACCACCCTTGAAGACAAGCACCATGGTCAATGGCCCACTTCATGACAGTGACACAATCAGCCTATCTTTGCAAATGGCCTTCACCTCCTGTGGGGACCTACGCAGCCAAGGCTGCCCACAGCAACATGAACACTTCTACTTGCCACTCTCAGGAGCATGGGTATGGGTACAAGCAACCTGGCAAAGGCGCCAGCCAGGAGACCTGGACATAACAGATAAACTGGCTCTCCCTGCTCCCTTCCAACTGAGGCAACCAAGAAAGAAGCATCTTGCTATCCTCCCCACCTCTTCCATTTGCACTTAAAAGAACACTGGATGCATTAGAAGTCAAGCACTGAGAGTCAATTTTCAGCAATATGAGAAAAGGATTAAGGATGCAATAGAATCCGACAACTAAATCTTACAGTACAATATTGCAAATTTATCACTTCATGTCATTAAAATTGGCAGCCTTCTCCACCACTGTTCATAGCTGACTACACATAAAGCTCTAAAGAAGCTTTCATATACAGAGAGAAACCCATAGATATTTTCAGTGAAAAACCCCACAGTTTATAAAACCAAGGATTTTAGTTTTACTTCAACTATAAGTAACATAAAAGAATTGTGAAAGGTTTTTTATTGTTGTTTTGATTTTGGTTTGGTTTTTGTTTTCCAAAATTATTTCTTTCTCTCTTGAATTGAAAGTGATTTCAGAACAAAGATGCATAAAATTAAGTCTCATTTTAAAAGTTTAAAAGCTCAGGTTTAGTGTTGCATCAGCAAACGTAGCAGGTATCATGCTTTGGAAACCAAAGGAGAGTCCAAACACCAAACACACCTGTACATTTTAAATAGGTGCACTTAAATGACCCAGAAGATGTCTCCTCTAATGTAAAAGGACAAACTCTTTAGAATCTATTTAAAGGACTTTCTTGAGAGAGTAGACGGACTCTGAGTGAGTAGGAAACAACCATGGAAGCATCTTGGATGCAGATAAAAGTCACAAATTCATGCTATTACCACCAAGACAATGGGAGTCCCCAAGGTAAAGGGGTGCATAGGCAGTCAAGCACACCAGTCATGAAGCCTATTAAGGGACACCACATTTCTTTTTTAATACTGTTTCCATAAATATTCATTCCTCTCTAAAAAACTATTAACTGGACTCAAAATCCACTTGCATCCCATTTCACAAGTTAACTCTAGTAAGAAATAGCATAAACTAGGAAAATACTTCACTTCAGAATGAAAAAGTCTTATTCCTATCTCCAGGACTCATAGATTTCAAGTCAGAGCCCCAAGGAATTATTGTTTCTCTTCTCTTAACCCTTCACCCTCAATCTTCTTCTGTCTTACTTGCCTGATAAATATATAAAATAAAAACAAATCAAGGGGAAGAAACACACTTTTTGACTTCAGGGACAATGTCTGTCCCTCCTCCTCAACCACTGCTCAGCCAGCACCTGCACTTTCTAACATGGTTCAAAAGCCCTGTATCATTCAGCACTCTCTGCTCAGTTGCTCAGGAAAGCAGTTCCGCAGCGCGTACTGACCCACCGTTCATGCCACTGTAGACACTGCGATGATGGGGCGACGCCTCCTCTTGTGCTTGCCGTCTGAGGGTGCCCTCCCTGCTGCCTCCGCCACTGCCTCCGCCTCCTACGTGTTTGTGATCAGGGCTTCCCCCATAATGCTGTTTGAGATGTTCAGGACTGGTGCCTCTGACTCTGGGGAGGTGTTCCAGGCTGCCCCCAAGAGCATGTTTCTGAAGATGCTCCGGGCTCCCTCCACTAGGCCTGGCGTGCTCTGGGCTGCCTCCTGGCCTGTGCTTCTGGAAATGTTCAGGGCTCCCGCTCAGCACATGCTTAGGCAGTGTTTCCGGGCTGCTCCCAGGCTGTGGATGTCTTTGTTGTTCTGGACTGCCCTTACACAAGGGTTTGTGGTGCTCAGGGGTGGGTCCTTTGAGGGCTTTTGAGTGATCCGAGGTCCCAGAGACTCTGGGTTTCTGCAAGTGTTCAGGGCTGGCACTCCTATGCTTGGAGTGCTCTGGACTACCCTCGCCTCGTGGCTTCTGGAGATGCTCCGGGCTGCCTCCACTTGTGTGGTGCTTATGGTGGTCAGGGCTGTCAGTGCTGCCAGTGCTGGAAGTACTGCTGCCATCTCCCACATCCCGCACATAAGGTGCCGTGGAGGCGGTGAGCTGGCACAGGCTGGCCTGGCTGTCGATGGAGCAGCGGCTGCCGGCACAGCCTGCACCCTTCTCCTCATCCAGCAGCACGCAGAGTTCCTTGAGCTCCATGTTCTCCTTCACCACTTCCTCCTGCTTCACCTCCAGTTCCTTGAGCTTCTGCAGGTATAAGGCCACTTCCTTGTGCATCACCCCAGCTGTGTAGCGGCCTAGTCTCTGCCACTCCCGGGACACCCTTTTTCCTTTCTGCCGGTCATCATCCAGAAAGCAGCAGAGATCCCTCAGTTCCTGGTTGTCCTCCTGCAGTTTCTGGTTGATATCCTGAAAAGAGAGAACCATTCAAGGAAGGAACTCAGAGGCGGTGCATGCTCAGAAACCCAGGGTCAAGAGAGCCTGAAACTGAGTTCTCTGGGATGTCGGGGGAAGAGGTGAAAAGAAAAGAGCTGAAGGCGTGCAAAGCTGAAGGTGTGCAACTCTCCAGAAACTCTCCCATAAATGCTGAAATAGTAGGTATCAGTTTTATTCTCTGCAGAATACTTTATTATTGCATCTAAGTTTCACCAAAACATTTAAAAGACAAAAATTACTGTCATTTTACAGAACGGGAAACTGAATCTCACAAGACTTTACTTGTCCAATATCATCCGGTCAGTATCTAGGGAGCAGCCAGTTAATTAATAAAAACTCAGTTCATAGAAAACAAACACCGCCCCTATACACCCTCAGAAAACACGGCTTCTTTTGACCTATGAAATATCCAAAAGCCCTATGACTGAGGTTTTTCAGCAGTGCCAACAAAGCACTACTCGGTTATTCAGCCTATGACATAGAATGAGTCCCAAACCTCCACTAAGAAAACACACAATTGCCCTCTAGTGTCATTTCAGTAGCCGCACGCAAGTCCTACCGACTGTACCCATAGATGTGTCTTAGTCTCTTAGGTATCTCACACAGAATGCAAGCTACCGTGAGCTCTTGCCAGTAAACACCCCTCCCTAAAGTGTACTTCTCAGCAAACACCACATCCACCCACCCCACTGCCCTTGATAAGAATTTTCTGGGTACCTTCTCTCATCTCCCACTTCCAAACCAGTTTCTGGAAAGTAACCTCTAAAATTTATTTCGCCTTGTCATGCCCACATTAAGAATCCTTTAATAGTGTCTCATTGCCCTAGGATAGAGTTTAAACTTCACTTCTCACCAGGCCCCAAGTGATCTGACTCAGTCTGCTCATTCTTAGAGATTTAGTAAGCATCTGCTATGCACAAGGAATAAATTCAACAGCTAGAAATGTACTGAGAACATAGCAGAAACATCACATGCCACAGTTTTCATTCTGATGGAAAAGTTAATATATATACATGTATATGTATATGTAAATGTATATGTATATGTATATATTCACATAATGAAAAGTGCTAGGGGTAAAAAACTAAAGAAAGTTAAAAAAAAAATTTTTTTTTTCAAGAAATGGTACCACTGCAAGGAAGGGAAAAAATTGAGCAAAGACCTGGCTACAATGAAGGAACAAACATAAAAGTGAAGATGATCCAGAGCAGAGGTAGGACAAGCACAGCAGGTCTGAAAAATGGGATGAAATGAGGTGAGAAAGGAGGCCTGAGACCCATTGGAGCCTAAGTAGTATAGGGCTAGGTCCTCCAAGAGAAGGACTCTGGGGTGTTGAAGACCTGAGATTAGAGGAGTGTCAAGTTGTGATTCATTTTATGAAGGACTGACATAGCTTTGGGTGGGAAAGAGACTGACTGGGTTTGGGAGGAGGACAAAACAGCGTAAGACAGGATGAGGTGGAGACTAGATGACCAGTAAGGAGCTTGCAAGAGTGGACAGGGAGGAGATGCCTGTGGCTTAGATGAGTGACAGCAGCAGAGAGACTGAGCATTGCACGCTGAGGACCCCAACTATAGCCTCGGTTCAGGTCAAGGGGAAAACCCTTCTCTCACTTGCAATGCCTTCCCCACCCTTGTACACAGCCAGTGCTCATTTTGCATTACTCCTCCATAGAAGTCATTCAAAAGGGTCACACCTCTGCTCTGTATCACTCCTTGCCTCTATTATACCTATTACAATGTAACAGGTGTATTTACAATTGCCTGTTAGTTCAAGTCTCCATCCTCACTGAAGCCAAAGAGAATACAAAGCTCAGCCACTCTGTTCCCCTATGTAGCTAGACCATAGCACTCTCACTGTAGGCACCTGAAACTAGAGAATTTTAAAATGTATTGTGACACTTCCACTGATTCTCCATTCACACATACAGTAAAAGAAACACCATGTTTAGAGATGAAACTGGGTTAGCTGTGGGGTTGTACATATGACTGGCCCTGCTTTACAAAGGCTCTCATTTTCATTTTAAAACCTCTCATTGTAAACAACTTTATCTTCCAATCTAGAAGTACAGACACTCAGAAAATAGACTTCCTTTTGTTAAACTTGAGTTAATCCCAACACATCACATCCTCTGAGACTGATTAGAGAACAAACTTTAGAACATCTACCCATGATATCCTTTATTTCCTGAGTCACAAACCCTCAGGTGTAAAAGAATTTCAAGGCCTGTGAAATTAGTTTTCATTTGACTCCAATTCCAACTCTTGGCATTACCAACAACTCTGTTTCTTTGTTTCTAATGCCCACTTCCTCCTTTGCTTTTCTGGGCTGTTTTATGACTTCAGGCTTGACCTTGACCAACGGCCTCCCACCTGGCTTCTCTGCTTTGTCTGCCCATCTGTCTTCTCTTGCCTGCTCTAATCCAAACACCCCTCAGCCATAATGATCTTCAAAGGAGATCCCTGCATGGATCATCCCTTCTGTTGACCAACCTGTAGCAGCTCCTTTTTGGTAGGATAAAATGAATAAACCCTCTGCCACACCTGAAAAACACTCTCCTACATTTCTACCTTTGACTCTCTGTGGACAAATTAGGAGCCTTAATTATGGCTGTTCATTCCAGCTAGAAAATATCCCCTTCTTACCCATATGAATTGAACCTAAAATGAGAGATTTCCCCCGAGCAGTCTCTCTAGGCACCAGAACATTAACCACAAATATGCATAAGATCACACCCCATAAATGAATGAGTTAACTTTCCCACTTGCTGCTTAATGCCTGTAACACATTTCAGCATTCACTGGGCATCATGATTTTTCTTCTTTTCTCATACAGGTATCTTAGCTTATGGAAGGCAGATGTCTAATGTCTTTCTTTGCATAGGCAACATACCTGCCAGGGTACCTTTTATACAGTAGACACATAAGATAGTGTTTATGGACTGATCAATCCTTTAAAGCCCAAGACTTGTGCCCAAAACAGGTTTCAGATGTAGCTCCTGGGAAAGAATTTCTATTATTATTTTCAGCAAGCCCTTGCTATGTTGGAACCTACAGTAATAAGAGGATAAATTATCCCTTGATGCTTCTGCCTTAGGGGCAATTGGAAGCTGTAACTATTCAGAGAAAATAATATTAAGCCAAATTAATCTAAGCTTCAAAATATACTCAACAATCAATTTAAGCCTGGAATTAGATAGAAAAAAAAATCATGTTCTTCTTCATCTGAATGAATTTCCATTTGAAATATTTTCTTTTGACTCTCAAATGTTAGTCCTGATTTCTCCAAAAACACAAACAAGACTGGTGGCGTTATGGGCTCCGTGGAGCTGAGGAAGTGAGCAGAGCCTTCACAGCATTCCATACTGGTAGGTGCCCAGAATGAGAGGCCTGTTCAACTTTCTTCCTTCAGTCCTTCTTCCTATTTTTAATTTTCTTGAGAATATTATTTACTTTCCAATTTAAAGCTATTCCCTTCACCCTTTGATGAATGGCTAAGCACCTTGTGAGGCACCTTCTTCAAATTTGCCACAATAAGAACTGGACTGAACCACTAAGCGCTCTTTTAACCTCACCATAGGCCACCAGATTTTATCTAAATATCTAACATGGCCTTCTGTCCATTTTACAAACTACTACCCACAACTTCAATCTTGTGACTACAGAATAACAAGAACCATATCAGTGTAGAACAACTGTTCTAATTCTTTTTTTTTTTTTTTTCTTCATTGCAGAATGGGTGAGAGGGTTTGGGAGTGACTAGATAATTAATTCAATGCAGATAATAAATCTACAGAGATTTTGTTGCCAAACCAGCCCCCACCAGCATTCTGGGTCACAGCAACTGTCTAAGACTCCAGTACCTTATGACATTAGCACCCTAAATGAAAGTACCCTTTCTCCATCCCTTTGGATCCACACATTCTAAATAAAGAATATCAACTAGCTAAAAGACAAGAAAGCCTATTTTGTACATATTACATCCATGTGACCTTGAGAAATCTATCTAACCTTCCTGAGGATTCTGTATCTATGTATCATTTAACACTCATAAAACCTTACTTAGAATTGAAATTAAAATTCCCACTGAGCCAATGAAAAACCAAATCTTAGAGAGGTTAACAGTTTGCCCAATGTAACCAAACCATACAGCCACAGTTCCACCTACTAGCCTTAAAAACATTTGGATGCAATTTCAAAGTCGGATCACAGCAAAGGGCATTTTAAAGTATATCCTTCCCTACCCTACATTTGCAGTCAATTCAGAGTGCCAAATCACCCGAGGGCAAAAGTAACACCTCTATCGTCCAATAAAGCCAAATAAATAAATATACCATTCCTTAGTCAACCACATATTTGGATCACTATGGTGTCCAGGAAGCTCTGTGCTAAAATGACTAAGAAAAGGGAGAATGTTGGTCTCTCAGCAGAGCCTTAAAGCCCCTCAGGCCTTGTGCCACCTTGAAGCTACCCAGGGATGGTGCAGACTGAAGTAGAGCCTGGGACAGAAAGTAACCAGCTGTCATCATTTCTGAACTTGATAAGGTGTAGGCTAGGAAGTCTTAACACCAGCTGAGGAATTCAGACCACAGAGACTTCACTACTAGGGGTGTAACTGCTCTAAGTGGCCCAACACTAGTTTCTAAATGATGCCCTGAGGGTGAAAACCAGGTACCTGGCCACAGAGAAGCACAGCACTGGCTCACACAGAGATCTTCACACACAGCCTGCAGCAACATGAAAGAACGTCCAAGAATCTGATTTATTGTGCTGATTCTCTATGTTATTAAAACCTTTAGGAAATTAGTTAAACTCTTACCAGTCACAGTATTGTTTAAACCATTTAAGAAGATTATACTCGAGGTTGAAAAACTAATACTATTGTCCAGTTTTACCTAAGAAATCCAGGCTATACAGTTATTTGTCTTCAGCTTGTGAGAATAACCATTATATTTTGTAGTCAAGTACAGTACTAAACCTTGCCCTACATCATTAATTTATCTTCACAACACCCTAGCAATTATCATGTGCATCATACTGGTAATAAAATAAGGTCCTGACAAATTACTCAAGCTCACCTTCCTGGCAGATAAGATTTCTAGACTCAGATCCACTTCTAAAATCATCTTCCTCTATTCCAGCCTGCCTCTATACCCCAAACAGCCCAGTACTTAATAAATATCCCACAATAATGAATTAAAATAAAGGAGAGATCAAGGCTGGGGGGGAGGGCTTTCTGTGGGCTCTTCTTGGTGGAACCGACTCGAGGGACCACGTGACAGCGCTTTGGGATAGGGGAGGGCCGTTTCCACTTAGCGCGCTGCAGTGCGCGGGTGAGTCCGGGCATCTCGCATAGCCAGTCCTCCCCATCCCAGAATCCCAGAAGGAGAGCCCTGAGGCAATTAAGGAACAGAGTCTACTGCTGAAGAAGTAGGGTGGGAGTAGAAAAGGACCAGAACAGTTTGTGCCTGCGGGAATTTGCTCCCTAAGGTCCCCGCAGGTATTTCGTTTGTGTCTGGCTTCCTATAAACAAAACCAGAACAATGAGAGGAAGGAATACCGAAAGGCACCCTTCGAGCTTGTGGAGAGGAAGTTTGCAGTGTATGCGGGCCAGCAGGGCGGTTCCCGGCCTCCGGGTCTGCTGGGGCCAGGCACACTGCGGACACATAGAGCTCTCCAAGGAGAAAAGAAAGTTAGTGGGGTTAGGGGGTCTCCCCTTTTGCTAACAGCAGAGCGACAGCCAAAATAGAATTCATCACTGATCGACACTTTGGGGCATCCTTGCTAAACCCTATGCCTGCCACACTGGGTCCCTTGCCGCCCCACCCAATTCCACCTCCCATTCTGGAGAAAATTAAAATCAGACTCTATGCAATCCCAGGGGACGCCAGCCAAAGGAAGGCAAAAGAAAGCACAGGAGCTAGCGAAATCCTTGAAGCTCCTCTACACCAGGTGACACACACCGGCTCCAAGGGTAGCATCTGCTATTTCTCTCCGGGCGCCGCTCGGGCCCTTTCCTTGGCAGGGACGCCCTTTCTGTGCCCTCTACTCACCGGAAAGCTGGTGGCGCTAGAGCAGCCTTATCCCCGACCCCCGAAAACAAAGCTCCCCCGGGCCCTCTCTTGCCTCCTTTCCTGGCTGCCCTTAAGCTGACGGTCAGGTTCTCTATGAAACTGAAGGTCAGCCATCTCCCTCCCCATCCTCTCTCCAGAGAACCCCGAGAGAGCTAGAAGCCTCCAAAGTTTGTACAACTTCGCGAAGGGCTGAGGATAGGGCCGACCGGTGCTGCCTAGGATATGGAAGAGGATCACCTGTTGAGGGAGGGAAGGAAAGTTTGCGGGCCCCGCCCCGCCCGCTGAGCCCGGCCCGGGCCGCCTCACCTTGAGCCCGCGGATCTCGCCGAGGTGCAGCTGCAGGCGGCGGTTCACTTCGCGGATGAGGTTGCTGTGATCCAGCATCGCGCTCACCTTCTCGGCCTCGGCGCGCCGGAGGCTGCGGATCAACTCTTCCTTGCTCCACTGCAGCAGCTCCTCGTCCGTCACTTTGGACAGATCCTCCACGGCTGCAGCCGCGCCCGCGCCGACCGGGGTTGGGGGACAACTTTCAGCCGCCGCCGCCGCCGCCGCGCCTCCGGCCGCCTTAGACATGGTATCCACGCGGGGGCGGGTGAGAGTGGGTGGAAGAGGCAAAGCGACTCGCCGGGGCGCGGGGCCGCCTCCGCCCACAGCCTGTGCGCTCCGGAGTCACCGGCACCGCCCGGGGGCCGCTGCGAGGGCGCGGCGGGGGTCGCGCAGGGCAGCCATCCTACCTCGCCATCCCCGCGCGCGCACCCGCGAATCCCCAGCGCCGGGCAGACTGGCGGCTGCCCCGGCCGGTTCCAACTCCGCGCAAGTCCATAGTGCTGGACGCCAGGGAGCCGGAGCCAACGCGGCAAAACCGTGGGGGTCCGGCGCGCGGAGGCCTGGGGGCCTTCGCCCTCAAAGCCCCTTCCTTGTCGTGCGCCTTGATCCGAGATTGGGCCCAGACACACTCTCACGCCGGCACACGCACTTTTCTCCCCTTCCCCGATGCAGTCGCGGGCTCCTCCCCTCTCCAGCCGCTCGGCGCTCGCAGGCTCCCCGACGCCCTCCCGGCTGCTCCGACGCGCGCCCGCCGCGGCTGCCCAAGGGCTCTGCGCGGCCGTCGGGCTGCGCTCCTCCGGCCCCTTCGTTGCGCCTGCAGCTGCTTCTGGGCTGCTCAGGGAAGCTTCGGATTTGCTGATCTGAGCCAAGGAGTGGTGAAGGGTGGGGACCGACAGGAGGAGGAGCCTGAAGCGAGGGACGCCTGCGGCGCCTCCCCCGCGTGCTAGACGCTGCTGCAGCTCGACTGCCACCAGGGTCTCCACGCAATCGTGCTTCCTAGCCCGCGCCCGCTAGGGCAGGAGAGGCTTTCCGCGGCCGGCGAGGGTGGGGTCGGAATAAAGAGCAGGTGGGAGCTGTGGCAGCCCCTGCTGTAGGAGGCTCGCGCGCGCCACCGTGTGACGGAAGGTTCTCCCTCCTCTGCCACCCTACCCCACCCCAGCTCCTGGGGTGGGCTTACCACTAGGCTGGGTGTCACCAGGCAGGGGAAACAGCTGCCTACCAAAATGAAAGGCGCTTTTTATTTGCAGCGATTGCGGATCAAAAAAAGGATGACGTAACAACACCTAAAGAATACCCAGACTTGTACACTTCGGAAAATGGGAAAGAAGTAAATACAAAACCGAAGGAGGGAGAAGGAAAAAATCTTAATGCTGTGAAAAAGGAGAAAGGGGGTTCAGGGCACGGCTCTGTATGGACCTCCTACATCCACCACCAGGCCTGTCTCTCCTAAAACTTCACTACTGTAAGAAAGCTTCAGGGGGGAAATCTTGTGTTTTTTAAATTTTTACTTGAAATACATCAAAGCTTTTCAAAAAAAAATAAAATGCCTCTTTTACTCCTTTCTGAGAGCTAGGATTTAAGGTCAGCGCAGTCACCTGTCCGCAGAGCAAGCCAAGACTCCCTTATGCAAGCGGAAATGCCAGCCAAGGAAATTTTCCTTTTCCTGTGTGCCCTGCGCTGCCCGTAGCTCACTGGGTTGGCTCTTAATGATGCTGATATGTGGGAGGAGAAATTCTGTGGCTCTAGACTCTAACTCCAGGCTACCCTCTGGGGAAGTGGCCTGGCGTCAGCACTCAGCTGAAAACATGCTTTTGCCTAAAGAAATGTGTGCACTTGGCCCTGGGAGGATGAGAAGGTTAGAAAACTAGAGAGCTCTGTCAACCTCCCACCACCGCACAGGCACGCACACTTCAGGCAACCAGGGTACAGACAGAATCATCTTCATCCATGAGGCACAAAACCTAAATCAGTCCCTCCGCCAGCTAGTCAGTGTGTAAGCCCCAATTAAGCTGCCACCTAGTCCAAGATGGCCAGGTAAGGACTGAGCCCTGGCTTTGTTGAAAGCAAAGAAAGTGGCACTGCTGTCCTCTGATCAAAATGGCCTTAACGTTTTCCTCACCTTGACTAAACTTCACAAAGCCTCCTAATCATGGGCCCCAGACCTCCCTTTTCTCAGAGCATTTACCTTAACAGACTTTCAATTATAAATTCATTCTGTGACCAACACAGTAAGACCTGGCTCTTCTCCCCACCTCTTGTCAGTTTTAAAACTCAAGAATGGCTTTCTCGGGGACAGGGGAGGCTTCCCTTTGGAATATAATTATCAAGAAAGATTATACCCTATCTCCCAGTCTCAGAGAGGGCAGGGCCCTAACTTCAGCAAGTTCTTTTTAGCACTCACTAATGACCTCATTTCCTTGACCAGGCTCCCATCTCAGCATCCTCCAGTGCTTTTCTGATAACTCTTTGGTACTTAATAACTCCATCTTTTTGGTTCAGAGTAACTGATCAAACTCTGCCAAGCCCACTGCAATGGTCTGGCATCTAGTCCTCCTGGCCTGCTTATGACTGGTACTATTATTCTTTGACACCTCCTTTTCTCTCAGGCCCACAAAAGGCTCTCATCAACACAGCCCCTAATGCCACTTCTGGCACAGAAAGGGAAAATACAAGTTTAAAAAAAATGCATCCTGTCTACTGCTTGGTTTTGTTCTCAAACAAACCATCTAATCATGCTGGCCCTCAGAGGCAGATAATCTGATGGCATCCATGAAGTGCTTTATCCAGGTACCCTACAGAAATGCAACTCTTTCACTGCTAATATTACATCTGGGCTTTCCCTGCTCTACAGATGCGAACCTCCCTTTCTATTTATTCTTCTTTGCAGGCTAACAAGGAATTTGGCCAGCATCCTCCGCTGACTCCCCCCAGTCACTGCACACCTAAAGAGATACTAGAAGGCAAACGGATAGCTGAGAGAAGAAATTGGACTCATGTTGAGAACAAGGAAGAAGGAACCCACGAAGTTTCTCCACAAATTTACCTGCATTAGCAGCGCCGCACTATTGGGCTAGATCACCTTGACAAAGTCTTAGTATTTCTAATTTTGACCACTTGCTTGGGGTGATTATTGAATGAATAATGCTGCTTTGTGTTGTCAAGTTCCTACGTGGTGTCAGGAAAATCACTAAAAGAGAGCATATATTTTCTTTCACATTACCGCCATTCTAAATATAGGTAGTCAGGGCTAGTGTGATGTCATTAAAGCCATCTAGATCCATCTGTCTGCCTAGCTGTTCTTGGTACAGGCTCCTCAAAGGCACAGAATGGCTTCTGGGGGTCCAGCTGTACACCTACATTTGAGTCAGGAAGAACATAGGAACAAATAGGAAAGGGCACATTACCCTTTAGAAAATTTCCTTCATTTTGTAATAACCATAGCTTCCTAGGAAGTTAGCATTTTTTTAACTTAGATGTATTTATTTTACAAATAAAAATCAGTTTAAATATATATAAAAAAGAAAATTGATAGACAACTAATAGTTTCTTGTGTAAACCTTAACTCTGTAAGTTAAGTTAAGGTACTGTATCTGAAAACCAGCCATAAATGACCTTCAGTCATTATGTCCTCTTGGTTTTATCACATGTAATCCTCTGCATCAACTCAACTTCATCTCAAGTCTATTCCCCAGCCCAGGTTCTCATGAGGTTTCACCTGACCTTTGGACTCCAACATCGCTTTTTTTAAATCTACTTTCCACATGACTGCCCAGGTACACTATCTGGAAAAAGCCAAGTCTAGCAACTTCATCTCTAAGGGAGACTGAATTATCACTCATGATTCAGTATGACCTAATCAAAAAGGTAGCACTCTTTTTAGTAATTCTCCACCCATGCTGTGTAGCATCTGGCACTTGAGGAGCATATTTGACCTCCTCCCCAGTACTGGCTTTGTCCTTGCCCACAGGACTTCTTTCCTAATGGAATATGGGTGAGCCTCATAAGGTACTGCTACTAACAGAAACCTCTTATGGTAGTAGGCGTTACTCATGAATACCTGCAAAAGACACTTCCACTGTGAGCCTCTTAGAAGTACTTGGATTTATCCAGCTTCACAAACCAAACATTTGGGAGCTTGCTATCTTTTAAGTCCCAGTACCTGTTGGCAGAACTACCTTTGTCAGAAACTGCAAAGAAAAGGTTGATAAACTGCCAGGATTACTACCAGAATACAGGTCCATCCAAGCTGGCCCTCAGCACTTTCCAGGTATCTTTTAGCTCCTGAGAACAGCTATTCATCTTCTTTACTCTTGGACTCAGCCACTTTCAGTAAGTAGGACAAAGCATACTCCCATGGAAGAAACCCTAAAGCACAAGATACTCAGAAGCCTATATATATAAGCTTGATATATAAAGAGAAGAGACATATCTAGAGTAATGAACCCTGGAGCAGTAATGATATTTCCAGTATTAACCCTCTTTGAGCCCTCTGCTCCATGGACTCTCAACCTTAGCTGTATGGTACAATTATCTGGGGAGTTTAAAACATGCTAACGCCTGGGCACCTCCTGAGAGATTTCCAATGCCTGGAGTACAGAGGTTTTTTAAAAACTCCTCATGCTATTGTCATTGGATTTTAATGTGCCGAAGTTTCCAAAGGACTGTTGCAAATGTTCTTCTATATCCAGTACAGGCGAAAAATATAATAGAAGCCACAAAAGCAAGACACAAGTGTAATTTTAATTTTTTAGTGGCTGCATTTCAGAAGTAATACTAATTTTGATCACTAATACTTTGTTTAATCTAATATATTCAAAATGTTATTTGAACATGTAATCAACACAAAAATTATCAAGATACTTCACTTTTAATTTTTAGCAAGTTTTCAAAATCTCATTTATCACCTGCCTGTTATGCACAAGGTCCTGAGTTCAATCCCTGGTACCACACACACAAAAAATCTCATTTATAACTCATCTCAATTTTTTTTCCAGAACCAGGGATTGAATTCAGGCCCTTGCACTTGCCAGGGAAGCCCTTATTCTACTAAGCCATCTCCCTAGCCTCAACTCATCTCAATTTGGACAGACTTCAAGTGCATGCCATTCACATGTGACCCATTAATCCCATTAGCTACCATGTTAGAGATCACATCTTAAAGCTCTTGTCTCAGAGGTAAGGGGTGATAAGATGAGCTTCATACCTGTAGTGGGCTAAATGATGGCTCTATCCAACAGATATTTACCATGAGCTAATTCTTGGAACCTGTGAATGTTACCTTTTGTAGTTTAAAAAAAAAGGACTCCGTAGGGGCTGGGGACATAGGTCAGTGGCATAAGCACCTGCCTGGCAAGTGCAAGATCCTGAGTTCAATCCCCAGTACCAAAAAAAAAAAAAAAGAAAAGAAAAGAAAAGCACTATGTAGATGTGATTGCCTCAGTGATCTTAAAATGAAACATTAGCCTTAAGTGTTAGTAACTTTCCTCATTGCTGAAATAAAAATACCCGAAGCCCAGAGTTAAAGGAAGAAAGGCTTATTTGGCTCACAGCTTGTAAAGGTTTGAGCTCATAGTTGGCTGACTCCAAGGCAGGGCAGCATGGTGAGGCATGTCACCAGGAGAAACAGCCCATGGAGGGCAGCAGACATCCAGCAGCATGCCATAAGCCTGTGTCTGTGCTGTCCAGGCTGCTTGCCCTCAGGGTGGGCAGCACTTACACCTGGGGTGGGGGACCCTTAATTCTACCCAGAATTATATCACACCAATCAGTGGCCTAATTTAGAAATCACACACCCTAGACCCCAGCATCACATGCTCTAAACCCAGCCACCTCTGAAAGAAACCCGCATATGACCGCACGAGGCTCTGGTGGGACATCTAGGCAGCAGCCGTAACAGCCCAGGTTTTCCTAAGCAGGCCAGAA